CGAGATCATGACCTGAGCCGAAGTCGGCCCCTTAACCGACTGAGTAATGTTTATTTATTTTCGAGAAAGAGACAGCATGAGCAGGGGAGAGGTAGAGAGAGAGGGAGACACGGAATCCGAAGCAGGCTCCAGGCTCTGAGCCATCAGCAGAGAGCCCGACGAGGGGCTCGAACCCACGGACCGTGAGATCATGACCTGAGCCGAAGTCGGATGCTCAACTGACGGAGCCACCCAGGTGGCCCGAGAAGCTGTACCTTTAAGTCTCAGAGTTTGCCAGGATGAACAACGCTGTGTTCTGCTGTGCGTCCCTCCAGAGCCTGGAACTGTTTACTCCTCTGTATCACCTGTAGTATACAATCTAGTGCCTCTCACACGTTTATAACACGCTCACTGACTACTTCTGTTTTGTGATATTTGCATCCTGTCTGATTCGTTACTGGCAGCTGGTTTCCTTCTGGCAGTATCTGCATCCTGTCACTGATCCGCAGGAGACCGGGTGGCTAACCTTGCTTACTATATGGCATGCGAAGCAAGAGGCAGGATGAACGGGGTAGAAACTAGGATGTGTTATTGGCCAGGAAGGTGAGTATTTGGTCAAGGATTTTGATACGTTTCCTATCGCAGAGTGTCCCTTCTTTGGGATGGACAGTACGTTCCAAGTAGTGGAGATGGCTCCAGGGCCTTCCAAGTAACAGCTTTCTGGGTGTTTTCATATTTTCTAAAATATCAGCATGCACGTGATTTTAACAAAGCCTGATCTGATTTCACATCTCATAATTCCACCGTCGACATTATGTTCAGACAAATGGACTTCGCCAACTGGGCAGAAAGCATGGCTTCCTAGCATTTGCAGTATAATTTATAAATGCAGAGCGATGCATGTGTGACGGTTTTCAGGCAGAAATCTAAGTGAAGGTTCCTTTCTTTGAGTGCTATAGCCTGGTATCCTCTTTTAGAGCTTATAACGACCTTTAGAGTTCTTTTTATCTCACGTGTTTATTTTGTATTTGAGAAAAATGAGGCGCAGAGAGGAGGGAACACGGAAAAGTCAGCATTAGCACAGAGTGCCCGGACCGGTCATGTATTTATCATTGTGAACACTAGGTGGCATTGTGACTCTGTCATCAGGTTTCAGTTCTGCATTGTCCTCTGCTTGGGGGGGGGGGGGGGAGGGCGGGTGGCGAATGTTGGAGGCTGTCAAAATAGGAACACCCTGCTTTCCTGACCAGCCACACTGTCTGACTTAGATGACAACGTGTCTACATTTGAGGCTTATTCCTCTTGGCACCTGCTCATACCAAGGCATAAGCATGTGTTATAAAACAAAGTCAGAACCTGTAACAGTCAGTTTTAAAAGCAGTGCTGGGTTTTAAACTCTGGGAGTAACACAGGTCTGGTTCCTTTTCTCGAGTTCTCCCGTCTTATCCTAGTCTTCCCTGTACGCTAACCACCTCCTTATCTTTGTAATCTCAGGCATGTCCCACTGGCAGCCTTCCTTCCCATTAGCAAATGCAGGTGTCTGACCCTTGGACTCCCTTTATACCTGGAGCCTGATGGCAGTTTCTGTAAAATGTATTGTTGTCGGTTGATGAAGTCTCAGTCTCTTTCCACTGAACTGGTGCTCCTCAAGGGCCATGATCTGATGTGTCTCTGTATTTGTAAGACCTCATACAGTGTCTGGCTCAGGGGAGACTTGTTTGTTAACTGGGCGTATCAATGGATGGTAGTTTGGGTCCTTAGGTGGAAGGAGGTGGAAGAGGAAAGGGAGAGGAAGAAAAAGAAATGAAAGGGCAGGGGATGTGAGAGGAAGCAAGTACTGATGGATAGGTGGACAAATGGATGCATGGATGAATGAGTAGATGGATGAAGGATACAATGATAGGTGGATGGGGGATAGGATAGGTGATGGATGATCGTTTGATACATGTAGGTATGGATGGATGGCTGAGTGGATAAATGGGTTGGGTGGATGGATAAATGGATGACGGATGGGAGGACGGTGGGTGGATGATGGGTGGATGGGGGCATAGGATGGGGGATGGGTGATCGTTTGATGGATGGATGGCTGAGTGGAAAGATGGGTTGGGTGGATGGATGAATGGATGGGTGGGTAGATGAGTAGTAGATGCAGGATGGGTAGACAATGAGTAGATGGATGGGTGGATGGATGGGTGATGGATGAATGGCTAGATGGTCGATGGGTGGCTGGGTAGATGCATAAATGAATGACAGATGAGTAGATGACGGGAGGATGGATGGTTGTGTGGTTTATATTTCAGTCGTGGAACCTACAGACTAGCCACCTTACCCTCTGCTCCTATGTTTCCTTCCTGCAGGTCGTGGGCATTTTTGCTGGATTTGGGCTCCTGCTGTTGGTGGCCTCGCCTTTCCTGCTCTTGGCCACTCCGTTTGTACTTTGCTGCAAGTGCAAGTGCAGTAAAGGTGACGATGACCCATTACCCACCTAGAGGAAGGCGCGATGCTGGAACGAGACCCCTGCCTCCGGGAAGCGTGGCCCGCCCCCACCCCACCCCACCGCCCCCCTCACTAAACATCTTTCTTGCCTTATGTGCCCCATAGAGCTTCACAGTGTCACGCTGGATGCCGTGATTTCAGGGACTGATGTCAGAGCGCTTGCCGAGGCCCCGGGTGCGGTCACCTGGGCATGGGGAAGGCAGGCTGCAGTGGGTAGGGTGCGTCCCCACACAATCGATCTCTGCCGACTTGACAAGGGAGGCGCTGTGCAAGGCACCCCGGGCAGTTTTCTCCCAGTGGCGATAGACTAGGAGTGTCTGGTGGCTGCTTCAGAGACCTTCTTGTGCAAAATGCTGTCCGTCTCCTCCTTGGCGTCCTGATGGTGCCATGTTTTTGAGAGAAGGAGTCTTTTAAGGATTACAACTCACTTCAGGCAGAATCCAATAATTCTGACTTGAGAAAAGCACTCTGTTTATGACAACTGTTTTTATTACTAATGGCATTTAGTAAAATCCTTTTTAGAAGGTGTCTTTTTGTTTTTCCAACTGAGTAGTGAAAAATCAACAAGGTGCATCTAAACCATCCTATGCCTTTCTTGTAATGTGCATTTTAAGAAGTTACTGTTCAAATGACTTTTCTGGCTCGGCCACTTTTCAGGAGATTTAGAAAGCCTTATGCGCTCTTTGTGTTTTTCTTGAAACCTGTGACGACGTTTTGAACACCGTAAGCGGTGTGCTGTTAGAAACGCGCTTTCTATATTGTTGCGTTTCTTTGACGATACTGACGTGTTTAAAGGAGTATCTTCATCACTAGATTTTCCTTTTATTTTTTCTCTCTTTGGTGATTCAGCTCAGCTCATGGGGCTTATCTCTTCTCATCCAGGTATGAGCAGATATTTTGTAATATCTTTGGAAACCAAATGTTTGACTCGGGAATGGCTCTGCGGAGAATCAGTATGTTTTGGCTGCTTGCCCCAGCCTCCTCGCGCAGACAGTAAGGAGCGAATAGTGCTATTGATCCTCTTAGGCAGGGCTTCCTGGCAGGACTGGAGCACTCCCCTGGGGCCTGGGGGACAAGCTTCCTGATTTTCAGTTGTTTAAATGACTTAAGTTATTTTGGAGAAATCCTGTTACCTTACAGAGTTCCGAGTCCCGTTGCTAACCATTCTGCCCCGCTGAAAACACCTTCCCTTTCACTTAGGGGGTTGTACCACTCGGTCTCTCCTAGGCCGTGTGTGACTGTTACCATGGCAACAGAACGCGCGGATGACTAACACACACGTTGCTCCATCCGTTGAGTTTAAAACGCAGAGAACGCGTCTTTACAGAGAGTTGGCTCTCCTATGGCCTTTGAGGCCACCTGTGCTTGTAAGGAGCAAACCGATTACATTGAACTTGGGGGCCTCTGAAATAACAGAAAGGCAATTGTTGTCGATTTATTATCGCGGAACTTTTTAAAACTTATTACACATTCCACAAAGGAGTGAAACGGAAAATCTGACGTGTTTGCTTATTGTGAGCACATTTGTAAAATGTGGCGGGTTTTTTGTGTGTTTGATTCTACCTTTCTGTGTTGGCCTCGGGTCCTGCTTTCCTTCCCCGTGTAGACACTTCTTTGTTTCTTAACATTTGCTAGGTTAGAAGGAACAGCGTCACCTCACTCTTCACCTGTAGTATTTATTATCTTTACGAAACTGAAGCCATTAGAAAGCTAGTCTGTGTCGAAATCATATTCAGAACATTCTCCTTATGACCACAGCTGAATTCTTACTCAGTAACAAAATAAGAACATGCCTGAGACTGTCTTTTCAGTGGAGCCTGGGCAGTGAGTCTCTGTAGCTGGAATTGTTGCGACAGGGCCTTGTGGTAGGTGGCTTTCTGGAGAGGTGACGCTCAGTGAGTCCTGAGGCTCGAGTCAGTGGCCCAGGCTGGGATCAGTGAATGCACTTCTCTAGTGGCACCCTTTAAAATGCCTGTCAGAGGCGGCCGGCTTGCGGCCCTGTTTCCATTTTGATCCAGGAGGGGGCAGGCCTCACCCCATCCCTGTCCTGTTGCACACCGCACAAGTCCCCGCGGTCGTTCCCCTCTCCTCCGAGGTGGAACGGGAGCCTTTGGAAAGGATGCATTCCCTGGGCTAGAGCTCAGGTCTCTATTCCTAGCGGGTTGGGCTGTCCGTCTGTCCCGGAGAAATCTGTAAGCAGGCCCTGCACATTCGTAGCCCCCACCAGCCTTGTGCCTTCACCCCTGACACGTTTCACAAGCACGTGGTTCGACCCAGGCAGGGACCATGAAGACTCTCGGGCCAGCCACAGCCACACTGGCACCTGCTTGCTCCCGAGTTTTTGCACCAAGCATGCCTCAATTTGATTTTGTAGTTATACAGCTAAAATCGTCTGTTCCTTGGGAAGATACCAGCAGGATGACAATGGGATCCTTACATAAACTTGCAGTTTCCTCCGTGTGACGCTTTTATTTCAGTAGGGAACGCCAACCCCATTGTTCATGGGGGTGCAGTACTAACCATGCCTGATGTAAAATGTAAACGGAGCCTGGGAAGATGGCCCACGTCTTGGATTTTAACCTTGCCCTCACTCCCTGGTGAAACCTGGGGAGTTCTGCACTTGGTAGTGGGCTGTTACATGGCATAGCTTGTCTTAACTGAAGATGACATTCCCTTTCACGGATGGTCTTCATGCCGACGTTCTGGAAGCACATGTATGTTTACCCCTTTCGAGGCCTTGAAATCCTGGCAAGGAGAGAAGAAGGTCCTCAGGTCATGGCTAACTCAACCGGTGTCCAGTTGGGGTGGCCCTGGAGGGTGCGGGTGACCTGTGGGTCATCCGAGTCCCTCTGACCCCGTTGGGTGGTTTTGTGGGACATGCCTAGTCTGTCAGTCTGGCTGTCATGTCCCCTGCAGCCTGGCCTTCGAGCTTTTCAGCGGTCACAAGAGGCCGGCGCCCTCCGAGGAGGAGTCACTGTAGATGTTCGCGTAGCAGAGATCGACTCAGGACCTGAGCATAATCAGATCCTTGGAAAGCATGACCGGCTGTCCATATCAGTTCTTCCTCACCCCACGGGAGTGGCCGTAGCCCGGGGAACTGACCTCCACCACCGCTCACACCTTTTGCAAAGGGGAGCAAGTTCTCTTTATGGAATATTATTCCATAAAAACCAGTGTGTGTAGGACCAGGCCGGTTCCTTTTTAGAGTCCAGGGCCCGTGGGGAAAGGGATCCTCAGAGATCTAAAAATTACTCCAAGATGAGTCTATCTTTTTCATCTATCTTGCTTGCAAAGTTTAAAGTTATTTAAGAAATTGAGAGAAGACATTTTCCCTTGATATTCTTTAAAAATTAGGAGATTGGAAAGAACCAGGGTGGGCTTTTTGTATATTTCTCAGATTCTCGTTTATTAATAAGTCTCCATATATATATATATGTGTGTGTGTGTGTATATATACATATATATATATGACACTGAAATCATCAAGGGAAAATATTTTGCATGTCTAAAGCTTCGTGAAGGTCTCTTTAAAAAATACCAAAGCTTGTTTGTTCTTTATAATTAACCCAAGCCCTTAGGAAGATACACAAAATGAAGAGGTTATGACTGGTATTGCCCCAAATGCCACATGGAACGAAGGGCCTGTGCCCAAATATAGTTGCTAATGCGTCAGTAGTAAGGGAGCATGCTGTTTCGGTTGATAAAGCCCCACGGGCGCCCTTCTTCCTCCGGCCGGTATAATCTCGTCTTCCGCACTCCTGGGAGCCTTGGGTTAGGGGTAAGTACCAGCCACATGCCGGACCTTTCCTTCATTCTTTGCTCATTTTACCACGGGTGTATTTTTACTCTTGTATAAAAATATGCACGAATGGGTCATGCACACGTAGACAGTATGTATTTGGCAACGGTGGTAAAAACAAAAGTTCGGTTCTTGTTTTTGACATGTTAGAGTCCATCTTGTGCCACTAACACTGTGATGTATAAAAGAGCTGTTTGAATGCCTTTTAATGTTGTGTTTTGTACTTTGGAATCACATGGAAAAGCTTGATTTGTAATTTCAATACATATTTTAAATGTATTGTGTCTTACATAGTTTGTCTCCCGCCCCCTCCCCCCCCCCCCTTTAGAAAAGGGATTTTTCTTTTTAAAGAGATTTTGGCTGGAATACAGGTTACTTTTGTAAATCCGGTCTGGCTCCATCTTTTGTACCCTCTTCGTTGACTCCTGGCTCAGAGGTTGAAAACACGACGATGGGAGGCGGGAGTGAGGGTGGGGCGGGGGGGGGGGTGCGGGGAGGGGCAGAACCGCTTTCCTCTTCTGAGGTTTTCTCCGTTGGGAGTGTTCACAGCTCCTGGTGCCAAACTGATCTGAGTTGCCGGGTCGCTGGGTAAGCGGCCACACATTCCCCTCTCCTCCTTGTGGTTCCGGCCCAGTGACGCGGCATCAGAAAGCATCTCCCTGTTGGCCGCTTCCGTGCCCAAGACGAATATTTACAAGCCTGTCAGGATTTGCGGGCAGCGTTGTAACAATCCATGAGCGTCCTTTTCCTATCAGGAAAAGAAGAATAAATACAGATTCTGCTTGTCTTCATAGTGACTCTGGTAACTCACTTTGATTTTCATTTGCTGCATTTAAACTTTGTGGGAGAATATATACCTTACTTACATGAAGCAGCAGGCTAAGAATGGGGGACTGTTCCCTGTATTGTGGTTACATTTTAAAAACCATCCTTAGAAGCTTAAGGTGCCGATCAGAGGGGGTGTATTTTGTTAACTGGTGATTTGCTGGCACCCAAGACACTATTCCTAGTCACTGGGAGCTCCTAGTCTGGAGGGGAGGCAGGTCTGCCGTTTGGTGATGAGAATAAGGTGTGCCAAGTACTACGTGGAGGGCATACGTATGCACCGCACCCAGCGAGGGTGGCGGGTCAGAGGAGGCTGATGGGAAGATGCCGTGTGCGGCCTTGCAGATGAGTAGGCGTCAGCTAAGCAAA